GAGATAAAGAGAATTTATTTCGAACTGTGGTAACTAGAAAAGGAATGTTTCGTCTAAATGGGTTGGTTCATGGCATTGCTTGTATATGACCTCTGTAGCGATGTCAGAAGTTGCTCTTTTCTCTGAAACGATTGATGTTGATGCAAATATTCATAGATGACGTTATCTAATCACCTGCTGGTAATCAACTCGATGAGCATTCATCTGATCACGATATTGCTGTGGGGTGATCATGTTGTTTCTGTAATCACTCTGGGTCTGCTCTTTCATCATATTATAATCATCGTTGAGTAGGCGCATTTGTTGTTTCATAAGAGTATTGTTCTGATTTCTATAGTCTTGTTGAATCTGGAAAAAGGTATTGTTGAAAGAAGAGAAGTAAGAAAAACAGAATTTCTCATACCTCTGTGGATTGTGAGTTGCTAGATGCATACTGAGATGGTGCTGCTTCAATAACAGCAGCCACCGCGAGGCAAACGATCAAGAATTGAAAATACATGTTATATGTTTCATGTACATGTTCATTACACTTAAATAGTAAGAGTATGATCTTTGATTATGCTCACTAACAAATTGAAACAAAAAGGAGAACAGTTAGTCATTGGCAGCAAACACATCTTCACTTCTCACACTCATGACTCATTCGTTGTCCTAGTACACTTGTAAACAGAACTTACTAACTTCAAACATAACCATTCCATCACTTTTCGCTGCCATATTGTGTCTACACCACTCTATTAGCAACTTTCTTTTCATCGGACATGCCGAGCTCTTGAAAACAAATATTATTCTTTTGAGCAAAAGATTAAACTATCTTTCATTTCTCGATCCTTTCCTTCATCATCACTGCCACCAACTTCAAGCCGATGAACCAGCCTATAGTTGAAAGTTGAAAGAGTTGTCGATAGGTAGCAGAGGTTCTTAAACAGAAAAATGATGACATGAAATAGAGCGCCAAAATCTATAGAGTTAAACGGTCATCCTCTCAAACATTAGTCATTGTGTCAATCTCTGCAAAAGGTAACTGAGTATGTTAGCTTTACTAGTTCGTGGCATCCCAGACAGCTTCGTTACCGCAGTTCATGTTTCGTATTCTGCTAGTTCAACTTCCCTCGAGATAGTTATGAACAGTTCCTAAAGCTTCTGTTTTTGGCACTCATAAATGAGAAAGCGAATCATTCAAGTTGATTGTGCTATATTAGGAGGACTCAAACAGAATTTCGTTTGAGATGTTGAGATGTTTCACGATTTCTCAACGTTAGCCAGGCTGGACATTATACAGTCAGTAACATCAATGTTTTGCTATTTTCATTCCTTTATGTTCATTTTCTCTCGTATTCATACCTTCATATCCGTTGAACTTTTCAAGAGCTATGCCACAGCCTGATCGAAACTACAGCAACAAACTGCAAAGTGGTGTTGGTGGTGATGATTAACTAGAATAAAATAGTTCCTGGGGATTTGAGAGGTCTGTTGAGAGGTTGTTCATCTTATCTGAAGGAGAAGCATAGCCTAGTCTCTGCATTACGAAAAAGCTTTGAATGACACGAATCTCAGAAATTACAAAACAATAAATATTAATAATTGTTCTTACTTCCTTCTTTCACTGGTTCGGAATAATATTTCGCAATAGAGCACATGTTGGGAGGCAATTAACCCAATGTGCTCTAAACGGAGTTTTCAACAAGATTTCAAAGTGAATTAAACTAATTGTCGAGGCCATTTTATCATGGAAACTACAAATAAACATCATACTTGAGTGTAAAAACAAATTCTGCTCTGAAACAACTCAAGAAACATCTCATTTCATCGAGTTTTGGCAAAATCACATCGCTTTCCAGGAAGAAAACGACCGGGTCATTTTTTCTCACGTAAAAATTATTTCCAAGTGACGCGTTTCTGCGGTGGTATATAAGCCGTAGAGCTCCTGAATCACGTAAGTTGGCGGTGCGAGCCGGTGAGCTCCACTCCTCTCTCTCTCTCAGGTTCTCCAGAGCAGCAAAAAGCTCATCGGCTCGCAAGCCAGGAATGAGACTTGAACCAGCCCGTGTCTTATCTGAAACACACCGAAAGGTTGCATACCATCCTTCACCGTCCAGAGCCGTCGCATTCTACTCAAACCAATTTCTTTCTAGAGGTGAACTTACCAACGATTTTTTTAAAACTCCTTAAACCATAGAAATGGATGGGAAATACTTTGAAAACACAGAAATAAGACTACACAACATCACTCTAACCACTGCACAGACGAAATTCCTTTCCCGTTTCCTTGAATCGCTTGAGAGGAGAACATCAAATAAACGAGTTTATAAAAAAAATGATTTTGTACAATCTTTAAAAGTATCCTCTACAGATTAATTTTGGTAAACGGACTCCTGCTAAACTCCTGCGCTGAAAGATGTTTCGTATCAGATTGATGTAGTCATAACGAGAAGTAAGCTCAAACAGAGTAAGCTTCAAGAACCAACCTTTTCTGAGTATGCCTCTTACTCTGTTCCTATAATCTGTGTTGGACATGAGAACATAGTATGAACCAAGTATAGGATATATACATATGAAGATAAAGGAACAATCCGATAAGGCTCAAATATTCAGAATTGAAAGTCTATGTAGAAAAAGGGTCGTACTCCTACTTCCCATATCTAAGATAACACACCCACTGAGAACTATAAACGGGCAGCTAAAGCCAACAATTTCCACAATCAACTGAACTACGTTGGTCAGCAGCAAGTTAGGAGAATCTTACGAAGTAAAGAATCCCAGAAGTAATTCTACGCTGGTTCGCTAAGAAGTGAGTCGACTGGGATGACTTCGTTTGCTCTCTGATGCTCTGAATGAGGATAGAAACGCAGACAATTTCAATAATCGTGTAAATTGACGTAGCCAGTGCCGCGTATAAAGAGATCATCATGATGCCTCTATCTTGGAAAGATGTATCACATCCTCTCATTGTATACATCTCTTCGGGATATTCATATGTTAGTTTCTGAAAGAACTGTTTTAACGAATCAAAGGGGAACATCAAACTTCGAGACATGTCTGTCGCACTTCTTTTCCACCGCATCTCAAGTTTGTACCAACAAAAAACAAGAAAATAACTTGGCAAACCATCTGCACGATGAATATGGTCATAATGAGCTGTTTATATTTCCCTATTCCCAAAGTTATTGAGAAAACTCGATTGATGCCAAGAAGAACAGAGAACCCCGCATTGACTGAAATCTATTTCTGTTCCATGTACTCTCTTTCGGTGGCTACCGCTCAGAAATGCAACTTGAATCCACAATTGATCCAATAGCCTCATTCCAAGAGACGAGAGAAAACCGTTAGCGAAGCCAGACAAACATGGGAAAAGAAAAGTCGGTATTGTTCCCAAAGTAATATAAAGCTGCGTTAAGGCAGATCTTCAAAGAAAATTATGAAAGATTGAAATTCAGAACTCACATCAAATCATGTCCATGAATCACGAAGCGGGTGAAGTTGTTCAGCTTGGTTGGAACAACGATGAAAAGTGAGAACGAGAAGAAGATGATCAAGAACCCAAAAGGCGATAAGCAGTACATTATTATAACATAGAGAGACATCTGAGGTACGTGAAATCAGTCTACCTGTTATTGAGGCCAACAAGAGAACGGAGAGCTGTCGAAAATAATTTTGTCCATTTAAAACAGAAACGATCAAAATTTGTATTTGTTTTGAGTGCGAGAGCATTTTGAGTGCTGAAGCTCAATACTACAATTTACCGGTACAATAGTTGAGAACAGTAAGCGAAGTAACAACGCTTTGATGAACTTAGAAACCACTGATGACCGATCTAACAGTTGCACAATTACCAGTATGAAGTCTGAATTATACTCGGAAGAGTTAGACTGCCTGAATGTTACACAGTCTAGAAATCTCAAACACACTTGCAACAAGATGACATACAACAAGCCAGTAAACTTCTGTCTTCTCTTTCTGGAGATTCTTCAACGCAATACCTCTAGGTCGAGGCATCGATGTAAACTGGATAAGTCTGGTTCGTATTGAATGAGCACGGAAAGTTTGCATTCTATCCGAATCCGCAGAAGTTTAGTGATAAATACGTTGAAAAGCTCATAATTTCAAGCTCGTGCAGAAAAAAAATAAAAATAAAAATAAATTACTCAATGAAGAAGATCAGGGTTATTCATTCATTCATTATTCAGATCAACAATGGAGCAATACGACTGAAACAAAAAAGACATTAAGATGCATCCATCATCACTCCTGATATGTGAAAATTCAGACAAAGCATATTTTGATCTGAGTTACCTTTATAGAATTCTAGCAAATCAGGCCTCCGACAATTGCTCAAACTGGAATTAGCTGACAGCCGAAGAAACTGAAAAATAGGCTTTACGTAACACTAGAATACGAGCTAGCTCACTATTCGTCAATTTCTCTTCCGCCAAATCTTTCAAAGGCTTTTCTACCAAGTTCAACTCATTGACCTGTGTGAATAATTTAAAAACATATGAACAAGAAACGCACCAACTCCTTCTTGGAAGATTTTGTAAATATTGTTGGTGTCTTCTTCCGTATTTCTGCTTCATTGGTCCTGCACTTGTGCTTCGATTAAAGCTAAAAACAATCTTGCGCATGAATCCTATTTTCTAACCTATGAGAGGAGGGTAAGCTGGCGGGATTCTTTGCTTAGTTCTATTTTTGAACTTCAAAACCTAGTTGAAATGAATGGAATGGAGGAAACTGTTTGACTATTAAGTACAAAATAGTTTGAAGTGAAATAAATATTATACAGTAATCTATACAGTTATACTGATGAAAGAGTCCCGAAGACAACAATCAAAAACGTTGCCAACGGTCATAACCTTTCACAAGAACGATCAGAATAAGGTTTCCATGGAAAAATTCTTAAAAAAAGCGAGAAAAGAAGAGTTATTATTAAGTAAGAATTCGATTGAGTTATGCTTTCCTACGTTTTCTCCTACTTACAGGAGGCTACTCTGCCGCACAAGAATTACGTGGTAAACGTGAAACACAACCGCTCAGCCAAAACTTTTCATGGAATGAAACCTGAGCACGACCAAAAAGTTTTTTATTTTCTCGCAAAAATGAAAAGTGTTGTTCACTTCGAAGATCTGACACGATGGAAGCACTGATTTGAGAAGACATGTCGTTCTAACCGTCACAACTTTCTTCAGAATTATCGAAATTCCTCCTTTTTTTTTCATTCGAAACATGTAGCTGGACATGATACAATCAAAATCTTCGTCAATCACCGATTTATATGATTTCAAGAGCGGTGTACATACTCGGCTAATCTCAACTCGCAAAACTTTCTGTATCTTGGACCGAATGGAATGAAACATATCTCCCAAAATTTCTTATACATCTTAAGAATGGCGCGCACAACTACTGTTTGAGCAGGAATTACAAAAATTATTATTTCAAACACGTTTATTATAATCTGAGAACGAATATCACCACAAAAAAAAGAAATACAAAATACAGTGGAGAACATCTATCAGAGGTAGACGTTAGAATTAGAAAAGATAATATGCGTATTATGTATAAATTAGTCTATCAACAGGGCAGCAAAGATGGAAGGGGAAAAACAACAAAATAATTTTTTTTCTTCTTCTTCAAATGTAATTATTTTTTTCCAAAACAAAAATGGACGTTACAAGAAAAATGCTGTGCAAACCTCATATGCCTAAGGAAAATTTCAAAAAAGAGCAAATCGTGCGCGGCAATTATGGACTAAAGACGCCATTGTATTAACAGCAATTTAATTACTTTTTTAGTTGCTTTTTTTACATTTTCGCTAATTATTAAGCATATATTATATAATTAATTAGAAATATTTGAATAAAACCATCAACATCGATGAGATTATGAGTGTGCTTGATGAAGCAGACATTCCTTCCGAGTATGTGCGAACTCCTGCAAATGAATCAAATGTTTATAATGATTTAGATGATTAAAGATATTTACCTGTTTGAACCTTTCGTGTACGGTAAGTGATGAGTGGACCAGTAAATGTGTTTTCAGAGAAAGGATTTGAACGAAGCTCAATGAACAAGGTATTGCCAGTAGAGTGGAATTTCAATGTTTGATTGTTATGATCAACGCAATTGATTCTGAAAAGGAAAATAATTAATATTAAGTATATACCATATGATATCTTAAGTATGTATATGGCCAAGTATGGAATTAGAAATTGTAAAATATAAAGTTGTCTCAAATTTCTTGATTATATGCTAATGAACGCTAATTAGGTATGTCAGAGAAGGTGAACAGCAGGATAGATGGTCAAATGGCTTGTCCTAACCAACTATTATATGCTTTATATCATATTAGCTATTTCTTCTTTCACTCTCCATGTTTCTCCTAATCTTTATAAAGTTGTTTTTTCTGTACAACAGCTTGTATTGAATAGCTTATAATCCTGCTAATTCTTGCTATCCGTCATACTCACTAACTAACATCTGCCTCAATGAATTTTTGAGTAAAAGTGCTCAGTCACACCTTTTCCATTCTTTGAATATTTAGAGCAAATAGTCATTCCAAGATATATGAATATAAACAAAAACATACTGTTTCTCATTGTTTTCAGTTCCATGAACAGTCATGATATCGTTGCATGGCATTCCAGGGCTGACATCGATGTTATCCAATCCAAGTTTCTCGACTTCAGCATCAATGACGGACCATGGGTCAGAAGTCTGAAAGAATGTTCCTTCAATATTGTTCAACAATATGTTTTTAATGTGGACCCTTTGTATTACAAATACATTATAAAGGTTGATAAGTTGGAACAACGTTTGTGAACGCTAATTATGTGAGAAAAAAAGGTCATTTGTAAAAGATTTTTGAGGTCAAATACTATATCGTATAGTTAACGATAATAACATTCAAATCCAGTTGGCTAATTGAGTGAAAATTCCAATAGCCAGCCCAATGAAATAGAATGAAATGAATTCATTTCAACTATTTCGACTAATTATACATATGAATATCTAGTTAACTCTATGATATAGTATTTACAGATTTCATCTGCCCCAATATGGTCAATTGGACTATAATTGACGAAATCCGAACAGTGAATGAGAAATTGAATGAGAGAGTGCATTTAAGAAAATGCGCTCCAATGCACAAAATACTGTTTGAGAAATTGAATTACCGTAATAAGCCATTGGCAGAAAGTAGATTTTGGTCGTCCTTCGGGGTAAGTTGAAAGAGAAACTTGGCCGCTTTCAGTTTTGGAAGCATCAACAATTCCGCAAGAGGTATCAGTGAAGACATTTTGCTTATCAAGGATTTCACATCTGAAAGAGAATAAATGATAATGATCGTGATGATCAGTTAGGTATACCTCTCTCCCTTTAATCCGTATGGGCATTTGCATGAGCAACTTCCGTCAGCAGCTTCATCAATCTGTCCACCGTGAAGACATTCGGTCAAACATTTTTCTGCAAAATTACATTTTAATAATTGCTATTGAAGAGTTAAAATATGTTTTCTCTCTTTCCCCTCTCGAGCTGCCCCCTCCCTGTATTTGCTCTCAAAAATATCCTTATAATTCGAATATTAATTTGCGCCATATTTGTACGGCGGTTAACTTCATTCAATTCTGGAGTATTCATCTTACTCATCGGCCTTCCCACCATTCCATTAGTCATATGAGAGAGAAAGCGATAGAAAGAGATAAAAAGAGTAAAATACTCAGGATGAGACAAGTTCCTCCCTCTGAAACAGCCAGGTGAACCCTCATCATAATGAAATCTGTCTGCCCTTTATAAGCAGCCGACTGTGATCTCTCCGGTTTTCGTGATCGTTACCGTTGTTAATGACCAGTTATCCGGTCAAACTCAAAAGGCTTGCATGTCATAAAAATGCAAAATAAAAGGTGTTGAAGAGAATACAAAAACGAATTTGTTTAAAAAGTCATAATAGCTATTTTCTTTGTTTTTAGAAAAGGATAAGAAGATGAAGGATATCTCTTCAATGAGATTCCGATAGCAGGTGAACTCTCTCTCTATCTCTCTCTGAAGAGAGGTGTAGAGAGAGGGTAACAGAGAGAGAGCGAGCAATTCTCGGAGTATTTTATTTACCGTACCTTTTTGTTATTTAATATTAACAGAAAAGAGCAAAAAAGGTAAATGAAATGATAGAAATGACAGAAATACAAACATAAAAAGACAGATGATGTCAATCACGATCGTTTATGGTCATTCGGCAGCTTGCCTTGTAAATCTCATCAATCATCATCGAAAAGTACTTAAAAAGCTTTCAAGAGAAATGATGATGTTCAAACAAGCCACCTGTTGCTCTGTCCTCCCCACCCTCAAAACGGAAAGAAGACTCAGTTCTTTCAAATTTGAATATCTCCGAAAGAGGCTAATTGGAAATCGGAGAAGCTGATAGGAAGACAATACAAAAAACGAGGACAAGTGCCAATTTCCAGTTTTTGAAGATTTTGAGATCATTTTCATCATCTGCCATTGTGGTTATGATCTCTTAAGGAAGCTCATCTCTCTCTCTGGCTTACATGAACTATTCACCCTTTGTGCCAGCCTCTCAAGAAAATCTGCTTCTTTCTTTTTTTTTGCTAATTTCACCCTTTTCTTCTGTATTCCCTCTTTTATTGAAAACTTTCTTAGCAGGAAGACATAGAGAGAGGAGAAGGAGAGAGAGAGGATGAGAGGACGAATGAGAGGAATAATGGGTGATGAGCATCTGAGTAATTACAAGATATTTAGTTGAATAAGTGAATTATTCTCACCCATACAAGGTTATTCCTCAAATCTTCTGATGCATTTTTTGGGGTCAAATGTTTCAACAGCTAATCGTCACTTAAGCAATTCTTTCCATTTCAATGAAGAACAGAAAGAGTCTAAGAGAGAGAGAGAGAAAGAGAGGTGGGATTGAAGGTGATGAAGAAGAAGTGATGCCAAGTTCTTCTCGTTAACCTTATATTACTAATAAAATATGCAAAAAAGGAGATAGTAATCCATAAAATAAGAGGTTTTTGTACTTTGGTTAAGCAAATAAGCTTCAGAAGATATGATTTGACGGCCTTTTTGTGACCTTTACCTTTCACCTTAAATGGGCTCTTCTTCTTCTTCTTTCTCTTTACCCTTAGCTTTTCTCAATAGATAGTAGAAGAAGCAATAAAAATGTTGTTGTTCTAACACAACATTCTCTTCGAAGAACGGAGAAGGAAAAGAAGAACAAGAAGAAGGACGATGAGAAGAAGCTTAAACCAACAAAAAAAACTTTTCCTCTCCATCCACATACGGTAATATCAAGTTTCTTCATTCAAATCACATTTGAGTACCGTATGTTTTTCTCTCTCTCTATCTTTCTCTCCCACTCTCTCTCAATTAAAATCATAAATGTCATCTGTGGATGTAAATGAAGAACATCGCCATATTTGGTCATTTCTTTCCTCTTCTTCATTCTCACACGATCATCATTTCAATATTGCAATCAATGATCATTCCCATTTCAAGCTAAGACCACCCAACATCTTTTGTGTCAGCTTATACGAAAAGCTTGACAGACGGTTTAGCTTTTTATGAATGTTAGTAGAAAGCTATCAAGAAGAATGACTAAATATGTCCACCCTCCCTCATGCTCATGCCCATTTCCGTTGACATGTTGCGTCCATAACAGACCGGAACATAACGATTATAGAAGTTCATTTGCATATATGAACTAATCAATAAATATATAATAATATATTTATTTTATAAAACAAAAGTTTCCACTTGAGATGGGAATGATGATGAGGATGGAAAAAAAGACAATTTTCTTCAACCCAAACAAAGCCCTCACCCAAACCCTCACTTTGCTCAGCAGGTATTTGTCTTTGAATGTTTGTGGCATTCAAATACCTTACTTCCTAAACAAGACATTTGACTTTCTCTTCATCATGCCAAATATGGATGTGCATATGTGTTGTGTATGTATGAGGAATAGTTTAATGGATTGATGAGAAATTGAAAATCAAATTTGACTACAAATTCATGTCAAGTAGCGGTAAAGCTTTGATTTAATCAATCTCAAGTGTCAATTAGAGTGGATCAGATGAAAACAGAACGAGAACGACGGCGGGCAACAGCGCCAACATGGCAGACGTTCATCATCTACTCTGCCTTTATGTCGTTCTCTCTTTGGTCATTGACTTCTTCCCTGCTATGCCTTTTACGTCTTTTCACGTAAGAGAACAGACCAAAAGGAGAAGAAGTCTGAGAAGTACTTGACCCAGGTGCGTGAGATGGCGGCTTCCTATGGTCAGGTGGCTCAATTGTACAAATAAAATGATCGTAATATACACATGGAAGGTAGACAAAAAAAGAAAAAAACTCTCTTTAGCATCTCTGCCCTCTTACCGTCACAAACAGTATTTTCATTCAAATATACTTAACTATATGTTATATTAGTTTAAGAATCTATTTGATGATATAGTAGCCTTCTCTCATTCAGTCCAAAAAAGGCAAATGAGAGAGAGAGAGAGAGAGATAGAGAGATAGAGAGATAGAGAGAGAGAAGTCCAAGTTGGGAGCTCAGAAGAGAAAGAAGTAGTAATGATAGAAAGAACAAGCCGTCCAGCTTAAGTAAACGATAGAGCTGTTTTCCATCCATCAGTCATTACAGTTCATGTTCTAGTCAACATTCAGACTGATGAGATGAGAGAAGACAATTAACCTATTCTGCATGACCCAATAAACGGTAAAATGATCTTCTTCTGATTGTTTAAAGCTTAAGAATCAGTTTTCTTAATGATCATTAGAGGTTCTAAGCCAGCTGAGCTGATTACGTCATCTGGATAGAAGAGACAAAAAATCTGTCTACGTAATGAATCTCTTCAGACGCACTTCGTCGTTGATCCAGTCAGTTAGGAGAGAGGATTAGGTAGATCTCCTCTTGATCCAAAATCATAACACAGTTCAGCTTATTATGTCATGTTTCTTCTCTCATGCCTTTTTTACAATCCAAATAAGGAACCCCAAATGGTGTAGTGTGAGAGAATCGAATAATCTCTGAACGAACTTCAGAATGAGAGAGAAATAATGTTTTTTCTTCTTCCCAGTGTTCATCGGATCTTCTCAATTTTTCGGGTTAAGTCTTGAAAATGCTCATTTCCGTAATCTGAATTTCAAGCGTAAATGAGAGGAAACTGAGGATATGAAGAAGAGAGGAGAGTTGGATTATCCATTCTTCCATTCCGGCTCTTCTTCTTGTTCAATCACTTGAAATCAATTGATGAAGTTTGAAAATGAAAGAGGACGACGAATGAAAAGCTTGTTGAATTACCTAATAAGGCAATCACAATCGGAATCTCTCCATAAACTCAGCAATTGTCCCTTCATCAAAACTTCTTTAAGCTTCCGATTACTGGCAGACAACTGGAGAATCTTCATGAGCTCATTTCATTCCCCTCTTTATCTATGCAGATAAAGATGAAGACGAAGAGAGAAGACAAGAGAGAGAGATATATATGAAGAAATGAATGAGAATTACCCCTTTCTTTCACTACTTCTCCTAACTTGCCTCTATCTCTCACTCTTTCGGCCAATTCATCTCTTCTCTCATCTTACTCATCAAAATCTTAAAAGGGCATTAACGAGAGTAAAAGAAATCTTCCTCTTCAACTTCATCAAAAGAATTGAATCAGTCAGTAATTCTGTACAGCTTGAAACTGAGAAATCAATAGCTCGACCTATATCCCTCCCATTCTCACCCATAATATATCAGTAGAGTTAACATACCTGTGCAGTTATGGTTAACGTTGAGATGGCGAACGATGTGGGCACGTGGTTGATTCACTTCCAAAGCTCTTCCAACAATTTCGAAACAAACATCTTCATTCATGCATTCTTCATTCAGATGGACAGTATTATTATCTTGTTGCCAAGCGCAGTTTCTAAAAAGAAAAAAGAAATGAAAAAGTACGAGACGTTCTTGTTCACATAAGATAACAGAAAAAAGGAATCTTTTGAAAAAAATTTTTTTTTCGTTTCCAAAAAAGGTCATCGTGGGAGTTACTCTCTTCATTCGACCATTTTCACTCAATGACGTCATTTCAGAGACAATTAAAAGAAACAAAACGACAGTTCTGAGATAACAAAAGGATGGACAGTCCCTGATGGCCAATGCATATGAATATCCATAAATGGATTGCAAAGAAAGCGTTGAATGAATTGAAAAATCAAAAAACTTCTTAAAAACCAAGACAATTCACAATTGAAAATTCAAATGTGGCATCTTGTCGAACGACCATAATTGGTGATTGGTGATTGGAACGTTCACGTTCGATGTGAACATGACGTAATGTAAGAATGAGAAGATGAAAACTTACGTTGATTGTAAAATGGTGATTCGAGCTTCTTCTTGTGAACTTTGACGGAAGAACAGACAAGTTGATTGCATGAGATCTTCCAATACCTTCTCAACGCACTCATTGACGGTAGCTTCTGAAATATAAAAAGTAAATTAGAATATATGATGTATGATTAATATGAAGTTCAATAAAAATAACAATAAGACTAATGACCATAGATGGCTGTATGAAGAAAAGCCATTTGTCATTGTCTTTTTGACCCTTTTCATCTAATGTTCAAAGATATGATGATGGTTGCAACATTATTGTTCTTGACACGACATTGATAGCCTCAGGGGAAATAGCAAGGGCAAGACTATATAAGTACTAATAATATGTTGCTTAAAAGGAAAAGCTAGAGCTAGAGTATTTAAGAAAAGGTCATCGATCACGTACAATTTTCTTCAATTTCATTTCCTGTCTCCAAGAGAAAAAGGTCTGCAGCTCCTTCTAACTGCATGCATGACACACGAATAGCCATAGAGAGGGAGACAGAGGGGAGGGGGGAGAGGAAGGAAAAAAGAGAAAAACGACATATGAAATCAAAAAGCTTACTGAGTACTTCAGGTTGTTGAAAGAAGCAGATTATCAAATAAAAAAAAAGAAAATTCACTCAAACTACTCTCCCATTAACCATAAGTCTTGTCAGCTTTTCAGATTCTAAATTAGTTTCTGTGCTGTCATCTTCAGAACTACTGAGTCTAATTGAGCTTTTTGTCTAAGAAAACGAAGTAAGCCTTCTTTCATTTCTAACTTTAACAAAGACAAGAACCAAAATGAAATGTTTCCACTCTAGAGATAGAGAACGAGAGAGAAAGAAAAAATTTTTTCTCGATGGTAAGCAAGTGAGGGGGGGGAGAAGGATGGTGTGGGGGGGGGTAGACGGAGAAGTTAGAAGACTTTAACATAAAAATTCATGGAGAATCTGTTAGCGCTCATGCATATAATTATTTATACAGAGCTAAGAAATAATGAAAAGAAGCAATTTTTTCAGATTCAAAATTCTTCCAGACCAGCAATTGGATGGTAAATTCAATTTCCTTCCAAATAGACGATGTCAAAATGAAGTGAATGGTAAGCGCGGGAAAGAAGAAACATTGAGAATTGGTGGGCGAAGAAGAAGAAAAAAAAAAGAAAACACAACCGCTCACAATTTCCGTAACAAAACAAAAATGGAAAAAAAAAGTAGAAGAAGAGATATGATGAAGAGCAGCAGCATCATCTGTCACGTATTATAATGATGTGTGACGGCATGTAAAAGGTTGCGTGAAAGTTCACGTGCTCATACTTATGAGTAACATATGATGATGATGATGATGCTGCTGCTGCTGATGAGGACGATGAGGAGAATGTTGTTGATGATGATAAATGTACAAATTAATCATCCAGGTGCATGAAAACTAATAAAAAACCGAATCATATTCCTCACTTGATGACATTTACATATATATATATATATATATATATATGGATGTTTAGATAATGAAAAAGATGAAATATTACAAACTAACCGTTATCTGTATGTAAGAAGTATGGAATGACGCTATTAGCGCTAACAAATGCCTGCAAAGACGTCAATGACATACTCGAAGTTGTATGAAGTTAATTCTTACCGTAAGCAATAGAAGACTAGACACTATCCGCAGCATGACTATCAGGCAAGAAAAAGGTATTTGAAGTACTCTGCAAGGATATATCATCATGAGGATGATGCTCAGACAACACAAGGTAGATATGAGATAAGGTAATGAAATACGGAACACATAGAATATTATGAAATAAATAAAAAATGAAATTATGATATAACTATGATGAGAGTATGTGATGACGGACGTCCAACTAAAACACATTCTCAAACGCAGACCTCAACCACATCTAGCCGTTAAGTGGGCGGAGTCACAAGTCTGCAACCATATATGGGTGGAGCTTATGGCAAGGGTGGCATCTCTTCTACGTACGTGAAGATAGAAAAGATCTATTTCTTTTTATCTCTACATCTCTTGTTAGAGTACATACTCTCACAGATACTCTTTACTTCTGTGGTCATCTGGAAAAATAGTCAGAAGCTCAGTATCCGACTCAGAAGCAGCTATACAAATGTTTGCTTGACCTCCAGGAGAATTGTGAGTGGCGAGTGTAAGGAAGAGAGATAGAGAGTGAAAGAGTGAAAGTAAAGAGAAGAAGTAAAGAAATAAGCTGATGAAAATGAATGAAGATTAGAGAAAAAAAGAAAAAGAACTCGTCAGAAGTCATTCGAAAAGAGGTCGATGACCAAATACGGCCATTTACAAAAGAATGATGATGATGTGATGAAGAAGCATCACAGGTGGAGAAGACAGTAGGAATCTCGAATTACATAGTCAACCATTCCTTATACTTTTCATTCAATGTTCTATTCAATCCTATTCAATCAAATCGAGCTTTAATGTCATCATTGACAACATTGAAGGTAGGAACTAGAAAAGCTGAGATTTGCCTAAAGAGGAAGCAAAACAAGACTATCTTTGAAGAATAGATGGAAATGCAAATGAACGCTCCACAACGCATTTCAGCACAACAACGCTACTTATGCTAATTTAAATATCACATAGAGTAATAAAAAGTAAAGTTCCAGACACTTTTGAGTTTGAACATCAACACAAGATTCAGTCAGGCAAAAGCTTATAAGGAAAAGCTGAAGTAGCAAACTATATTCAAAGAGGTATTGAGCGAAGAGAGAGGGAAATAGACAGAAACTGCCATCTCATCTCATCTCGTTGACTGATTTGCTACTGATTGCCGTTTTTGAGTACTTGTCGCAGTGGTTGTTTTCATCTCAAAGTTCTTCATAAGTAACCTCTTAACCATCATAAAAGATCACATTGAAGATCTTTGTGCCTCTTCAAAGAAACTTATAAGAGCTCATCAACCTTTTGTGTTCCAATCACGGAAGTTAATGAAGCTTAGAACATCAGAGATATAGAAAGAGATGAAGTGTCTCCAAACGAATAGATGATGTCTCTATTCAGTATATGCTCTGAGATCATCAAATGCTGATGTTCTAGCTTGATAAGCAAATTTCAATAGCTCACCATATATAGTCTCTAGCAGAAGCAATATTACAGAAGCTGTGACAGAGACTCAAGGAATGTGTTATACGTAGTAGAAGCCCACACAACAAGTTGAATAGTAGGATGAAGGAAAAGGAGGGAGAAGAAAAAAAAAAGAAGACGTCGTTGTAAATCTTCAAGAACATTCAAAGTCAGAGGGTATATCTTCATGAGACACTTGTGGGAGCAGTTATAGACAGAAAGATATTAATGCATAAAGATAGAGAGAGGGAGAGAGAAAGAGAAAAGAAAACTAAAATAGGAAAATAGACAGATTTCGAGAGATTAACACAGATATGGCTAGCACATGCCATCGAATTTGAGGGTACTTCTTCAATTCTTCTTATGCTTTCCTTGTGAACAACACGAAAATTAGATGATTGTCCAATGACCTCATATTCCTCCTGTCCACAAACGATATAGAGAGAAGAAGAAGATGTTAGAATAGGATAGAATGGGGAGAGACAGAGCTAAGCGACAGCCATCGTTCCAGATATTATTCTTCTTCCATGTATAAGCCATAGGGTTAGGATGCTTATTCATTGAGCTTGCTTTTTATATCTCAAACCCAAGAGATGCTCAATAAGCATGACCTCAGTTTTTCCTTTTTAGAGATGACATAAAGCATTTTATCGGACGGGGATATAAAATTAACAAAATAAATACGTAAATGTGTAAGAGAGAGCAATGAATGAGAAGAAACGAGTTAGAAGGGGAGTTATGGATCTGACATCTATTAACGGCATCAAACAGAGAGTGGATGTGCAGCCGATTAAGAAATTACGAAAACACACACACGCAGAGATCCACAACCATACACACACACAAGCAAGATTCAATTCATATGAATACATTTACTATATAGCTTGTGCTAATCATATGAAATATTAAAGATTCCCAAATTTCAATCGCATTGTTTCCTCCAATGCATCAAGATTGCTATTGAGAGGGCCGGCTATATCAAGTGCTTTTCAGTAAATATCGTATCAAGTTGATTGAAATTATCGCATTAATAATTTCTTTAAATGAAGAAGGAATACAATCTGGCTCGAAAGATGTGAATGAGCTTAAGCAGTATATCTACAGATAGCACACTTCCGGTTCTCAAAAAAATAAGAGAGAGAGAGAGATATGTGAAGGAGACTAATATGAGCGCTTAGTTAATCAAGTTTAGAGTCAAAACAGACAGCTCTTCACCCCCACCACCCATACTACTCAAGCAAGGTTTATATGAGCTTCAGCTGCTAACTCACAAATGTTTTTGATGATCTGATGACACATCTTAACATTTCATTTAAAAAACTACAAAAAAAAGAAGAAGAAGAAGAAGATGCGGAAGATGAAGCAAACGATGATGAGCTAATGTATATACACGTTTTCACGACGACACGCAATATTTCCATTTGAACGATCAGTTACAATGACATCAACAAAGATAGTAAAACACATTCAGAATTGGTTAAAACATAAGAAGTTTGCATCTATAAAATTGTAATTCTGCAGTTTTACCATATGATGCAGGAGATGAATGAAATACAAAAAAGGATTCAACAGCACGCAACCCCCATAGACCATGTGCGGATAAAGCAAAGATGAAAGCAGAAAAAGAAGAAAAAAAAAACAAAAATTGTCCTCTTGAAAGAACAACCGATTAAGCAAGTCAACGAAATAACAAATGACGCAACTCTCAACCGTTTACGCGCGCTTTTCACGTGAAGAATTTTCACGGATGGCACTTGCGCAGCAAATGTGAACATGCGTGGCTTATGCAAATGAGATATCAACCATGATTATATGAATCTTTGTCGGATGTGATGATATTCGTATCAGAAGTATACTCGATCATTGATGAAAATTCTGATTGAAGGACATTCATATAGTGTTGATGGTGGTATTCAAATTACCTATTTGAATAGTCAAATGTAAAACAGTTGTTCAAGAAAGTAATTCAAAAAGCATGTGACCAACTGTAGATGAATAACTTCCGCAGAATGGAGATATAAGCTGACAAACAGTCTTCGAACAAGCGACTGGCCGAAACTCATCGCTCACAATGTCAGCTAATGAGGGTTGTTAGCCAATTGTTTCGACTTTCCAACAGGCAGGCCCTTGTTAACTACAGAACCCACTAATATGAACGAAGCGGAAAGAAAAAGTAATTTGGAACTAGTGAAGAGAAGCTAAAAGTCACAATTCCTAATAAGTTGGAACGTAAGAAGACGAAAGTGAAAAACGGGAACAGGGGGGGGATGATGACGATCATCATGACATTTCAGATGAACAAATGTTTCTTTAAGCGTAATTATGAAGAAAACCAGCAATTTAAATAATTATTTCGCGCAAACTAAGAATCAGTCTGTTCAACATATACATGACCGGCTGGCTAATGTACAGTTTAGTTCCAATTAGACTGGGTGCCATTCCTTAATTGGCTAATGAGCCTTACATACTCATCTTTCCCCCCTCATTTGCATGTTATCCGTATGCTCTCTCTTAGTACTTCCTTCTCTCTCGCGCGTTCATCCTCATCCATTTCTCATACTCTCTCACTCTTAAGCTCAACAGCAATGCACCTCTACAGATTTTACAATCTTCAGATGTTCACTGTTCCGTATTTTGACTATAAAAAGCTTTTCAACCATTTATATTTTCGTTTTATGAAGTTTTATGATGTGCAGCTGACAGCGAGCAAATTCGGCCATAATCTCATTCAACATGATGCAGTTGGGAAAAGAATTTTTCCACATGAGGATGAATGCTTATTGCTTGCAATCACAAAATAATACTTTACTAGCAATATTCTGAATGTAACATCTTATTTTGGTTAGTTAGAAGATGTGTAGCAGGAGGCGCAGCACAGCCTGTACTCAACCACCCATAATTAGCCCAGATGGGTCGGCTTGACCAGTCAGCTCGATTTTTATTTTCATAAGTCTTATGACTGAGGACGTAAGAAAGTTTTTGGCGATTTTTTTTACTCTGCCAACCTCTTTCTATAAAAATGAAATGAAAAGATGAGAAAAAGTCTCTGCAAGAGAAGAATCAATTGATAAGTGAATGTTGGGCATAAGACAATTGCATATAATAGGTTTGCATCATAAGATCATAGAAAGGTCGCAGAACAATAAGCTAAGGAAGAATAAAAGAAATCTGGCAGAAGGAAGAACGGATTAAGACAGCATAAGAAAACTGGAGATGGAGAGATACGGCCTAATGAAAGGATCAAAAGATGTTCGTGTCTGCAACAACGGTAAGCATGTCAGTGGCCTTTTATAGACAACGGTCACATTTTGTCTAAGCATATACATGTACATAAGATGTGACAGATGGAGATGTAAAGATTTACCAGCACATCTTTCCGGATGTCGGATTGAATATCGTGTGTTCTTCATAACCATAAAAGGCCTAACCACCCAGCATTGCACTTACAGAACACAAATTGGCTAGAACTAAGAAGCGAGCTTAAATAGAACAAATCAGAGACAAAGATAAAAGAACAAAAGTGAGGATGAAAGTATGTATTATTCATATCAAGCTTTCGAAATCCAATTATCGCTATTGATTGATTGGCTCATAACAAACGCCATTTGCAATCCGCGCCCAAATTGTTGTTTATCAAACTACAGTATTTGCATATTTTTATTAAATCGTAAATTCGTTATTCATATAGCCATCTACCGACTAATGGAGAGAGATGATGTCATCAGGTTAGCATTTAGTTAGAAACCCAATAAACTCCTATGTTGTGAAAGAATACATACGATTCATATTAAATTCATTTCGTTCTCGAAGTACCTAGTTTGGTGTTCTTTCTAAGAATTCGAACATGATCATCATGCCATATACAATATCAGATGATTCATTTGAATTATGACTAATTTCATTTCTAAAAATCACGAGAGCTATTACGTTTTTTCGAACAAAAAAGGAAACAAGCAGTACTCATCTCAAAGGAGTTTGAGTTTCTTTCATTAATCCTTCCTTTTCATTTCCTCTTCGCGTTGAATGAAATGCTTGTTGTGGTTATCTAGAGTGTTCAGGAAAAAGTATTCTTGTCTTCCATAAATGGAAATGAATATCTCGATCGGGTTTCGAATTTCATGTAATATTCTGTAATGATTAACCATACAGTTTTATTGGTTCTTCATAGTCCTCTGTACCATTGTTGTTGTAATTGAGAAGATGTCACAGATGGCTTTTCAAAGCTAAAACAGCAGAAAAAGGAGACACGTATGTTTTCTGCTAAATATTCTGACTGTCTCCCCTTCCTTTCCTCTTCTTCTTCAACCTTCAAGTCAAACTGGGAGATTTCGAATGTTCGAAACAGCTGGATGGATAGTGGGTGAATTGATTTCAACAAATCGATGTTGACCAGAATGAAGTATTAACAAGACTTCATAATTTAATTTGCTTGCTCAAGAGGTCCACTGTGAGGCGCCAAGGACATGTCACTTGGTGGACAACGAAACTGTTTGAAATGCAAGAGCTAAAACAAAAATTAGTTCCAAAAACACAAAGTTTGCCAAAGCGATTGAGGGACAATTTTTGTTTGATTCATTATGTCCTTCAACATGTTATCCCCTCTTTATACATAACATTAGTTGGAGGGATATGTACATATATGGCAAATCCCCTCCTTGTCTATTGATGTCCAACTTTCCGCACCAATGATATTGGCATCTTTTCCGGTAGTTGTACGACCGTTTAATCCTTTCCTCGTTTCGCAATCTCATCTATCTACACATGTCTTCAGCGGCTTGCTATTTTTTCTTATTTGTTTAACCCAATTATGGTACTTTACCTTGTCCTCACTCTTACTTGGAGTCGTCTAATATCCATATCTCCCTTGTCTGCTTCCCGGCTCCATAACTCTCAGATTTATTTTGGCAGGGGAGGGGTGGAATGAGTAGGGATAGTTCCCATGAAAATGAAACGAAGATTTGAAATTCGAATTTTATTTGAAGCCGATAATGGTATAAGAAACAACGATTTACAGCCAATTCAGGGAGAAGAGAGGAGCTTAATAAAGGAAGTTCGGCAATCGACTGTTTTAAAACTACAACAAATAATTAACATGGAAAAAGTTCAATCTTGCTGAAGAATGGCGATTCCCAATTAGTTCGAAACTTCTAATCGGCCGCCTTTAAAGAGAGAAGAAACTATGTGAAGCAATTTCCACCAAGTCTAGGCAACTCTACAAACTCTAACATGGAGCACCAGAATGAAAAAAAAACTAGAAAAACTAACATTTTAAAGAAGTATCCAGTTTTATAAATTTTTGTGCTATGAAATAATAATAAAAACTCAATCAACAGAAAACAGAATGGCACGAGAAAGTGAAACTGGAAACTTCGAGAAGACGCTCTCGAACACTCTCTCCCATAAAACAGAAAAAAGGAATGAAATATGAAAGAGATGGTACGCCTGAATCCAAAAACCTAGCTGATTTGATATTAAAGTGATGATAATTCACAACTCTAAGTACTTAGTACCATACTCGAAGTTGAAATCTTTAAGCTTCAGGGGTCTTCTCCTTAAGAGGAATTCCTTCAACTGAGTCAGCTGACTTGTTCTTAGCCCATTCTTGAACTTCACCCTTAGCGAAGAGTCTGTAAAGATTCGAAATTGAATATTGCAAATGATGAAGTATGAACTCACGAGAAAATAACTGAACCAGTGACAAGAACTCCGGCAGTTACCCACATGACCAATTGCCATTCTTCTTGACTATTCTATAAAGAGTCGTTTAGTTCGTTTCTTTAAAGGGAACTGACATTGCGGACAAGGAAGGTTGTGACTTCTGGAGTCAAAACACCAGCAAGGCAGGAGATGGTGTTTCCGATTCCCATAATGGTTCCAGAATAAATAGGAGCAATATCAAGGTAGTTAACAACAAATCCAGAGTATTGGAGTCCGGAGATAGCCATACCGATGGTAAGGAAGACGATGACAAGGATCTTCAAAAGAAGTATCAAAAACCAGAACTTAGTTCAATTAAACCTCTTGTCCACATCCACAGTAACTTGAGAGAACAAGGAAGATAGCTTGGCCAATCAAAGCTAGAAATAAAAACAGTTATCAGCAGTTTTATATGAACGATAAACCTGTTAACATAGCCCCTCTTCTGGTGTTCAAAGTTCCCAAGATTCCTTTAGAACGAATAGTATCGGCCAGAATACCTCCAACGTTGATAGCTAAGAAGTAAGCAACATATGGAACGGAGGCCAAAACACCAAGCTTAAATTGTTAAACTCAGATAAAATTAAAGAGGATTAAAACATACAGATGATAAATCGAGTTGCAAAACATCCTTCAAGAACATAGGCATAGCTACCATCATGGTATAAGCTCCCCAATCTCCAGCAAAGTGTCCGATCCAGCAAGCCCATACAGCTCGACTTGTGAAGATGCTCTTCCATGGGGTTGGAGGTGGCTACATGAGGATTATTAACTTCTGAACTCCATTAAAGATTACCTTATCATGTCCCTTTCCTGTACTAGCTTCAATGGACTCGATAATGTAATTTTTTTCTTCAGCGCTAATGCGAGGGTGGGTGGCTGGGCGATCAGAGGTCATATACATCCAAGCGGCACACCAGAAGACACCAGCGAAACCTGAAGAAACAGTTGTTCAAAGTTATGTATGAAAATTGCACTGACCAAGGATGTAGAAGATACTTGGCCATCCTCCATCAAAACCGTTTTGGCAGAGATAACCAGCAAGGGGAAGTACAACAACATTACCAACTTGAGATCCTAGAAATATAGAACGTGAAATTTTCAAAATCCGAACAAAGATGAAACCTGCATAAGTGATTCCTGTCAACACAGAGAGTTCGAGTGGTGGTCCCCAAACTGACCACATAGTGTGCATAGCTGGGAAAGTTGCTCCCTTCAATGAGTTATGTGAAATTTTGCTAGAAGGTGGAAACTACTTGAAGGAATCCGATGAGGGCTCTAAGGATGACGAGGAAGTAAGAACTTGTTCTGGCAGCAATAGGACTCAGTAGGGTGAAGAGGGATGATCCAAGGATACAGGCGAAAATGATTCGTTTACCACCAAACTTGCTAGCAATAATTCCACCAAGAATCTGAACAGAGAACAGTTGGATTCATCAAATTAATTGTACTGACTTGACTTCCGATATAACCATAGAAGAAAGCTCCAAGCACTCTTCCTTGAGTAGCCTTATCCCAATCAAATTCACCGATAACAGAATCGCTGCTAGCGACAACTTCTTTTCCACACTTGTTGATACTAACATTTCCGGACAGTTCACCCATAGTTTTGTTTTCTGAGACCATACAAACGATGGCCAAAGACATGTTCGTTCTCAAAGTGTATGTGACAGCACATCCCAAAAAGCAAATGATTGCCAAAGCAAATCGGGTTGAAGGCACGAGTTCTGAAATTTTGATTTATTAATCTCATGCACTGGGGAACATCATTATTTGAATATTTTACTATTAATGACCTCATATCATTAGAAAAGCCGATTTTATTCAAGCTGATAAGAACATTTTATGTTTCGAAATCAGGGAAAACTCCGTGAAACAGAACAATGGAGTGAAACTGTGTTATGTTCCGATAAGATAAACTCGTCAAGTTGTTGAAGAGAACTTTCCAAGAAATGAACAACAGACCACAACCAAAGCAGAAATGTCGATTATATGAAATGAATGTCCAGCTCCAGACTTTCTTCCCTCTCTCTCTATGTGGCGGAAAAAATGACAGGAAACGTTTCACGAAGCTCTCCGAATGGAAATGGCAAAACAGAAGGAGTGTAACGATTGCAAAATGCAGAATATCTTTGGGTATATAAAAATGTAAACCACGTAATGTAACGTTATTATCACTTCTTTTGTCAAAATTTCAGAAGCTGAATAGTTTTGTCATCGACTACTAACTGGCTAAAACCGTACTACCACAATGGGTTCCTTATCAGAACATATTTACAGTCATGCTTCTCCCTTTTCAAATACGAAAAAAACTAACTTGGCTTTGCCGTCTTAGGAGTAGTTTCCATGTTGTTTCCCAAGCTTCTTGATGGGGATACCCTATAAGGAGATTGAATAAGTACATTGAATTGTAAGAAGAAAGATCAGAAAAAATTATTTTAAATAAAAGAAGAAGCTGCCTCGAGTCATTTCTCGAAAACTTGGCATAGCATTCAGAAACAACTAATAGAAACCACACTGAGATACAAAAAAGAATACAACCCCAAAAGGCGTCTTGATGACCACTAACTAGCAGTAATGATAACGTGTAACGATCCAAAGTAGAGAGCAAACAGAGCACAAGTTGATTTCTAATTATTTGTGATAACCTGTTCGATCTATGGAACTAACATCCCAGAAGAGTATTCAAAATCACAAATGAATTGAATAATTTGCGCTCTGAACAAATGCGTCCCTAGAGCGTTCCGTTTGAACAAGGGAAGATGAAAAGTTGCAATGAGTCTTCCGAAACTCTTTGAAATTAGAACAGTTAAACTTTACTGCTGAGCAAACAGTTCAAACAATATCACAAAGGTCCTTCACGGTTTTGTCCGTCAGACATTATTTGGAAAAATGGACAATTGAAGGCCACATAGTCATAGTTATCTTAGTCACGCCATACTTCAGAAAAATTACAATCACCACGCGGTATATGATTGTTACCCTGATATATCTAGGCCAAAGGAAAAAAGTCAGAAGATGTCAAGAAGAAAGTGCAATCCTAAGTAAATGTAGTAAGTGCACCATTCGGGCTTGAAAATCAGGAAGGGAAGAATAGTGAAGCCAGTGGTGAGAGACAGGTCGAAATGTACTTTTGTTGAAGTTTGACCTCAGAATCCGATGGTTCACTATGTGAAGCATGGATAGTATCAAAAACTAAAAGCAAAATGAGAATTGATGAGGCCAAGAGTCACAACAAGGTGTGGAGCGACGTCAGAGAGCTAACAGCTGTTGCGGATGCTAATTCAAAGGAATAAAAGGATTTTCGAAAAAATACGCATCGCAAATCCCATATGCCTTCGATTTCATATAACACTTTCGGCAATGTTATAAAAGAACATAGGTCTTAAACGATATACACGACTGGAAGAAAGAAAATATGATGAATATGGGTTAAGCAAAGTCTATATGGAAGAGTTGCAGTTAATTTGAATTTACTTAATTATTTAAAAACCTGCGAACGAGAAAACTGCAAAAGAAAGAGAAACTGCTCAACTTGCATGCCAAAAGCTTCAGGCTATGCTATTGGAACGCATAGGCGTGGCTACATTCTCACACACACATACACACATACACACACACGCATACACAGAGACAGAAGATTGAGAGAGCGAGAGGAAGAGCATAGACGCGAATACGTACACTGGAAAGCCAATGTCCTTTTTTCTATGAAATCATGTAATTAAAACAGAACGGTGAGTGGGCGGAAGGAAGATAAAGAAAAAATGAAAAAATTCCTCCCAAAAAATGTTAATGTAATTCGTGAAATTAGGCTATTGAATTACAAGATTTGCGCTGTAAAAATATGCCGCATATTCTAGGTATAAATAAGCAATGATTTCGGACAGCTATGACGGATATCAAATGACGAAATAACTCGAGAATAGGACATATCAAAGGCAAACAAGTCAATGATAGAAATGATGATGATCAAGTGGACCAAGTGCCAGCAGAATCATCAAGGACAAGTGGTTATTATCAATTCAACAGAGATTGCTAGAGCTATAAGCAATGCCAATAAACATTTCTCTAATATACTGCGATAAAACGTATGTACTTGACATCCATCCAATTTCGGAAAAGTTGAAAAGATTTCGGAACTGCATATGGAACGCAAGAGACTGTAGAGTAAGCGAACAGGGTGAAAACTTCATCAAGTGTATTCGAAATAGAGAAATATGATGAGACTCATCTGCACCATAAATTATCTAGTCAGGAAGTTCACTTATTGTACTGAATCAGTGAAGTAGAAGTGTTTCACTGGATGCCTACAAACTATCACACTATATACCAAAGCGCGACTACACGTAATTATAATATCATTTAAAAGTGAACGCATATTTGAATCAAAACTTACGCTACTGGCTCGAAGGCGATTGTCGCCACATTCTCCCCGTCCGCTTCAGTCATTGGAAGACGACTGAAAAGAAGTATTTAAGAATGGCTTAATGAAGAATTAATTAAAAAATAAGCAAAACAACTTCAGACTGGCAGAAGCTAATTACAATATTTAAAATGCCACACATATTCTCATGCACTGCAATTTAACGTAATTTGTGCACTGCGTAGGTAAATATTGATGTAGTTATTAAAACCGTTCGTGTAAATTGGATGTTTCTCCATGAGATCTCTCTTGATCGCATACATTGGACTCACCGTTGTTCACGAATAACGTCTCATTCTAGATTCCTAAGCTTCATTCCCGCCAGAATTTGTGCACTGCAACCTTACGAACTTAATTCTGTTTGTTATGCTGTGCAACCGCGTGCAATCATGTTGTGGCCAAAATGATGTAATCTTACTCATATCTCTTTTACGTCATTTTCCCACGTAGTTTGCTACGTCATCATACGCCTAAAGTGCTCCGTTGTTTTGATATTCCGAATGAAAACTTAAGATTCATCAGCGATATCAAACTTCTCAATCTCTGCTAATTCTCAGAATACATAGCAGCGTTTCACTGATGAACATTGTTTAATGAAATATTATATGGCAAATGTCAGTTTTTTTTATCTCGAAAGGAATTTCTTTTTTCTTTTCATCACTTCTAACATACAGAAGAAAGATCTGCTGTTCGAATCAATGCTTACAGCACTTCACGAAATATCTTGAACATTGGATATTTATACGAGAAAACAATAAAAATGACCTTTATGAACAAAAAAAACAAAAGAAAAGAAATTTTTTACAACTTTTTCAAGTTTGGAAATAGGTGAGTAGAGCGAGGGTAAGTCTACAAAAATGAAACAATGAATATATGTATTACTTTCTCAGAAGTTTCTGAAACAAATGAACTTTTAATGTAACTGAAGCTACATCCTTACCTCTACTTCCCTATCTAACATAGCTAAACTATCGATTTTGAATTTATCGTTCCTATTGAAGAAGCTTTTTGTTGTTTCGTAGATAAAGTTCTTCTGAAAGAAACACCGTTGAAGATTTCGCGACACTCACTCACCTCTTCGTCTGTAAGCTTCCTACTTCTTTTGGCATCCATGATGTTTTCCGCCAGCTTTGCAGCGAAATTGATGTGGCATTTACCTCCTTTTTTTCTTAACCTTTTGGCCATTAGCGCTAACTACAAACAACTCTAAGTAATTATGTGAACTTCAACCACACCTGTTCTTTTCTGAACAATCCTGAATGGATAACACTCTTACTTAGAACGTCTTCGCAAGTTATTGAAGCTAAAGATATGGACGAAGGAGCTTCCAAACTATTTGGTTTCGTGTCTTTCTTGTTATTCTTCAATTGTCGAATTACTCAAGTGTGTCTAAACCTGGCAACTTACAAGGGGCACACGTAGTTTATGACCGAAAGATGGCATAGAGCTATAGCGAAGTTTCGTATTCCTTACTGCAGTATCATTGAACCTAAGATAGTTTTACAAACGTCAAACGTATCAAATTGATTACTTGTTTAACAAATCAGCCAAGAGATGAGCATTATCTTTCATTTTTTTTCCTTTTTTGTTTTTCTGGAAAGCAATCATCTCAGTAATAACTCAACGATCTACCTTTGTGGTTGCTCTGTTCTTACAAAAACTAATCACAGCTGATGAGATTCTGTTTTCCCTTATATGACCTGCTTCATTTGGAATTTGAGATTCAGGAAAGAAATGTATAACACTTTTAAGTATCCAACTCCACTGAAAATAAGGTAAATATCAGAAGGTGTTGCAACTCACTTTATCCTGATCTTCTCGACGAGAGAACTCTTCACCTTTGAAGAGTAACAGAGCTAATAACTTGGCGAAAAAAGTATCTTTATGGGCTTTCCCTATATGATAAAGTTTTGCTAACCCAGCGATCAGTTCAAGCTGAGAATCACTCTTATTATAAGCTTTCCTAATAGTGGATATACCGCGGAATATGATAAAGGTTCGTGATCTTCAGGACTTGTAGGAATTGGCGGACTATTCTTATCTACAAAATAAATTTGTCAACTCGTGCTCGTGAGATCAACTAACTATCTACAAAAGGAGTGCTTGTTACTGGTAGATCGTAATAGATATAATCCACGTGGTTATTCATTCCTTCTACTGTGCCCTGAGAAGAGCATTGTGAACCTTCCATAGATGTACAGGTTTTATCAATGAACGAATGAGAAAAGTTCGGTGAAAACTTTTGGTCATTATCAGATATTACCTGAAAAGCATGAAACATTAATCAATTTATGAAGATGACGAACTCGTCTAGAAGTGGAAATATGATGGGACACACTCCTCAAATCCTGTACAACGCCAGATATATCTAAGAGTAATATTCAAAATAGAACATTAATATGGAAAACCCAACCTTTCACAAGATTATTCAGGCATTGTTCTTCATTACATCCTTCTATCGTTCGCTTCACAAAATGTGCTCGTTCATACGAGTCATATACTCCCAGGACCTGATCATTACGTTCTATTGAAGCAGAAAGATGAAAAAACTTACAAGCACATGAACTTCTCCTTGTATGTCGGAACTAAGATAACGTTTGTCTCCCACTTGAACTTCCGGATCTGTTTGTTGTACTATGAACTCATAGGGGGACGTTCGAGACATCAATACGGCATACTTTGCGAGATTTTTAAATGAGCCCGGTTTCGGAAACATGTCTGATTCAGAGCTGAGCATCTTCATCACATGCTAAAAACCCAAAGCTTTAGTCAAATTAAAAAAAAGTTCAAAATTTAATTGTAAACAATGTCATACACAAGTACAACGAGGCTGTGGTCGAAGTGAAATTACGAAAGATCCCAAAAAGATACGTTCAATCAATAATTTATGACTAAATTACAGTAAGCATCAGTGCATTCCACGGTTTGCGAAATTTGACAACATTTTTTGAACTCATGTGTGATTAGGCAAACTGTTGAATTTCCTTTAATTGGAATTTCGAATAGTTTTTTAAAAATAAATTAATTTAAACTAATCTCCATATCCTAAATGATTTTCTATTTTTCCTCTTTTTCATCTTCTTCCTAATATGCTTATGACAGCCGACTTTGGTGATAGCGAGAGAGATGAGGTGTGCGAGATATGTTCGTATTTGTTTTTTTTTCAGTGAATGAACAGAAGTATTTCTCCAAAATGTTCAAAGCGCTTAAGAAGAATCATCGATATTTTAAAAACTCGAGGCAAAACTTCTTGCAGATATGGAAGAATCCAGAGAAAGTTTTATTAACAGAATTTTGTGTTTTGTAGACGCAAACTCGAGCTACTTGAGCCAATACAATTTAAACAACTGATTCTGATTAACTCATTTGATCAGATCACGTAGCTATCCATGTTGATCAAGTGGACCACGTTAGTAGAAAGTAGTAAACATTGAACGCGTTCCATTCTTTTTTGAAGCGTTCTCTGCTGACTTATCTACTTGTTTGAGTTGTGAGGTGCTGTCAATCGCTGACCGCTGTGACAGCAAAGAGATTGATGGTTATTAGTTTATCGTTGTATATGTAGTTTGAGACTTCATTTTTACAGCATAACTCAGAAATAATATATAGGTCTTTATACTAGGTTCTTAGAAGGGTTTATGTCTCCAATGTTCAATACAGTTCACACGGAACATCTTGGGACTTTCTCGCATCAAATACAATGTTGTTGTTGAGCTATGATAACCTTAGAAGAAAAGGCTTCAACTGATATTGACATCTATACCTTTGTTCCACCCATCACATGATAGTGATAGTTATTTAGTTCGTTGAGACCATACTCCGTCCTCTCGATGAAAAGTAAAAAAGTTATCTTCGTATTGAGGCTATATTTTTGTTCGAACGGCACATTCTTGAGTTTTTTCTTTCGAGCTTTTATCTTATTGTTGTTTCTTTTAGGTAATTTACTTAATTATTTGGATGGGTTCCAAAGCAGATATTGATTGGCTCAGTGCTGAAGATGATGTTAAACCACCACCAGCCAAAATAGCAAAAAGATCCCCAAGTAAAAATAAAAAGGGGAATGTAGCAATAAGCAAAACTCCAATCACTAACTTCTTCAAGCCAACGGAATCCGTGGGTTATGATTAAACGGGAAAAAATTATATTTTTGATTTGTCAGAGCTCCAAAAAATTGAACAAGAGCATTGAAGCTTCGACTTCTGCAGAGGTGGAAGTCGAAATTTCCAACAAGACAACTAAAACTGAACCAGTAGTTGAAGGTCTGAAAACCAGTATGAGAACCTTAAAAATACAATCATTCAAGATAACAATAATGTAAATCCATTGGTCAGCGGCAATACGGGTCTTAGCATCTTGAAAACGTCGCAATTAGAAGTTATGCGTGATCGAGCATTGACTGATGTATTTAAACACAAGAAATTCAAAAGTCAACTTCAAAAGAGAGCAGTCAACGCTATTCTACTTCGTAAGATTGAATTACCAAATTTATATTGTTTTGAATGTATCAGGTCGAACTGATATTTATGTCTCGCTGCCCACAGGTGCTGGAAAATCATTGTGTTATCAGGTTTGGATTTCTGTAAAGACATGTGCTATGCTCGCTGCTTGAACTTTGCAGCTTCCGGCTGTTGTTCATCAAGGAATCACCGTAGTTGTTTCACCTCTGATCGCCCTGATTACTGATCAAGTAAATGCTCTAGTAGGGAAGAACGTACCTGCAGTTGCTTTGAATTCGAAACTGACTGCTGATGAAAGAAGCCAAATTATTTCTGTAACCCAACAACAAAGTAGTCATTATCAGTTTTCGTATCATTGCAGGATCTCCGAGAAGCCGTTCCTAAAGTTAAATTACTTTATATCACTCCAGAATCTGCTGCTACTGACAATACTCGTCGTTTATTAGGTTCATTGTACAAAAGAAATATTCTGAGTTACTTCGTAGTAGACGAAGCTCATTGTGTAACTCATTGGGGTCATGATTTTAGGTGAAAGCCCTGTTAGTAATGAATTATAAGCTTTTTCATTTTTCAGACCTGATTACTTGAAGCTAGGAAGTTTGCGAGATATTTGTCCTGATGTAGTTTATGGATTAAGTTGATGAAGCAATAACATTCTGATTCAGATTCCTTGGGTAGCTTTAACTGCTACGGCTAATGTTCAAGCTCAGGAAGACATAATGAAGCAACTCAAACTGAAGCATGTTCAAGAGTTCAAAGTATTAAAACTTACTCCAATGAAACTCACAGATTTTCTTTATTTAGGCATCAACTTTCCGAGCTAATCTTCATTATGATGTCGCCCTGAAGGACAGTCTCAAGTCTACTGCTGTGGTAAAATGAGATGCTGTGTCTTTTAATTAAAGACATACTCCAGGGCAATTTGGCTACATATGTTCTGAAAATACTAACTCCCCCAGCTCAAAAAGCCGATATCATGAAAAATGAGAAGAGTTCCCGGAAGGAACATGATAGAGTGAGACATTCCATATCAATGACCTTTCTATATCTCGTTCAAGGTTTACAATGGAAGTGGTATCGTTTATTGTCGAACCAGAGATGATTGTGATGAAGTCGTTCATAGTTTACGCGCTCAAAGTATTCCTTGCTTAGCTTATCATGCTGGTTTAGGAAACAAAGTATGTGTTTTCGTTCTTGCACATTGGCATCCCCTCATCTCAGGTTCGTGACGAAGTTCAAGATCGATGGATGAAGAATGAAATCCCGGTCATAGCTGCAACAATAGCTTTTGGAATGGGAATTGACAAGCCTGACGTGAGGTAAACAACCATGAACAGTTATCGAACATTTGCATAATCTGATCGGAACGTGTACACGTTTCGCCACGTGAATGCGCTCGAGATCTGAACTCATTTGGACTCTTTTTAAATGCGTGTTCGGCTGTGATTTCCTGCTATTCTATGACCAAAAATATATTTTGACGCATTCAGAGTTGTTGTACATTGGACATCTCCACAGAATTTGGCCGCATACTATCAAGAGTCTGGAAGAGCTGGTCGAGATGGGAAAAAGAGCTTTTGTAGAATATACTACAGTGAATCTGATAAAAGTTTCCTTAACTTCTTGATCGCTCGCGAAACTGGAATTATAAAGGTAATCACATTTCACTATCCACGCGTAAATCAGTTCTTTGCAGGCAAAAAAAATTGACGCTGAAGCAAAAGAGGCCCAGATAAAAACCCTGCAACTCGGATTTGAAAAGATGCTAGCTTATTGTGAAACGGCACAGTATGTTATCGCTGCTTATCTTCTCCTAATTCTAATAAACTGTTTAGATGTCGGCATATGGCTTTCTCAAAATATTTTGGTGATCACGACTTGAGACCATGTGAGAAAAGTTGCGATTTCTGTTTGAATCCCAAAAAAACCAAGGATATGACTCATAACATGATGGTACAGTTCCATTCTTGCAATCCTTCCGTATATATGTTTTGAAGAACGCTCCTCAAAAAGCTGGGAAGTACGGGAAACGTGGAGAATCTAACGAACAGAGATGGAGTCTTGCTAAATTGTAATCATAAAACTGATTGTACTTCCAAACTTCCCATTTTCAGTGAGGAAGATGAGTTTGCTAAAAATAGTAGCTCTTCTGGGTTAGAAGGTCGAGAGCGCATGCAAAAAGAAGAAGCAGAACGTTTACGAGGGGTACTTCATCGGGAATTTGCAAAACGCAGAGTATTATTCTACTCCCTGACTGTTTATGATATCGATGTTTTAGCATAGTGGTCCGAGCTCCAATCATCAAAGTTCCTCTTCCTACATCCCTAATCCTGATGTTCAAGTGAGAGATCCAAAATCGAAGCTTATTCCCCAGTTGACAGCGCAGGTGTGCAAACTTATGATATCATTCTATATTCAGTAGCTTCATTCAGAGGCGAGAAGCTTACGTCAAAGCAATCAAAGAAGCGTTGGAAACAAACTGGGGACATGAAAAAAAGCACAGCTCTGACGATGCTGCTACTGCTATTGAATGGTCCATCTTCAGCAATAGCAAAACAACTACTACATATCAACACAAAGCTGTAGCCAAGGTATGCCTATATCAACATATGTTTCAAAACACATTTCAATTACTTTTAAGGTATCAGAAATCAAGAAACTGTCCAGATCAAACGATTTGTACGATTGGGTTCCTCCCGAGACGACAGGATTCACTACAGCCAGCGCTTTACATCAGAACGAATAGTCATAATTGTACTCGGGTGATTGAGCCGTAATAATGCGGATTATGAACAATGAAAAGTAGTCAAAGATAAATATTAGATAAATTTTATTTACAACCCGCAGTCATAGTACAAATATAAAATGCTAAGGAAACATCACAATTACGACTGGCTTGTATATAAGGATATCGAAATGACATTTCTTTGTGTGCTAGAAAAATTGGCTTTCAGAATAAGTTCGAAAATACAAAAAGTGCATTAACCTTGATTTTTGTTTCTATGAAACTAAGCTACTTCTGTTGCTTAATGAAAAATGAGCACAAGAAAATACCCTATATGGGAATTATTGAATCTTACATGATTTGTTACGTCTATTCTTCTTTAATTCTCCCAATTTTTCGATCCGCTCACCCAGGGATGGTTTTCGTGGACGAAATGGTTGCGATTGCTCCTCTTTCCTTTTGAGGGCTTCTTCGTCGAAAACTACAAAATCCGACACTTGTCTCATGGCAGCAACTGTTGGACGAGCAGCTAAGAGAGACAAAATAACAGCATGACGTATGATTTTCTATAAATATTATTATTAATATTCAATTGCCGAAAGAGGAGAGAGAAATGTATATATCGTTCAATCTTCACACCCACCAGCCTGTACCGAAAACTCCATCTGCTACATATGTCTCAGGTGTTTCGGAAGAAAAGAAAAGCAAGAGAGACGGCGGATGAATAGAAAGCCATTTCATAAATAAAAAATAACAAACCTTGGAAATACCAGACGTCTCGATACAACTATACACAGAAGACATTCGAGCCAAACTTTTTATGGCTGTCATCACATCCTCATCAGGGACTTCAGAAGGGTTTTGACGGAAAGCTACGAGAATGAGAGGACATCGCCAACTATGTGCTTCCATCTGTAAACGTTTCATTTCATGAAAAACAAGAACCTAAAACAGCAAAATGACTCACTTTTTTAGTGATTTCTGTTATTCTTAACAAAGACTCGTCTCTATACTCCAGAGAGACAAAACAAATGATGACATTGGGTAAGAGATCATTATCTTCCGGATCCGTCAAACGAGCTTCCGTGTTGAAACATGCCTAATAAAGACAATTTTTTTTAATTTTCTTAATTTCTAAATGACTTACCTCTTTCAACACAACAGTGTAATTATCCTTTTGGTTAGTACGCGTGGAATTTTTGGGTAGTAGTGTTAATTTGGCACAAGGCTGAAAGTAGAAACACAGATGCTATGAAGAAAGAAAAAAGTTGAGAGAGAGAGACAGGGATAGATCTTTGGAATAAGCCAATTTCTTGTAGTTCCAGCCATTATTTTTTTATATCGGAATGTTCAAAAGAAAGGGAAAAAGAAAGATGGAGGAAGCGAACTCACATAATCACAAGCATCGCGACTTGTCGAAGCTGTTGCTTTTGATATCAATTGGCAGTTGTCACTGATTAGAACGCAATGAACATAATTCAAATTCTCGACCTTTAAAAGAATTAAAAATGAAAAAAAAAATAGAAATGAGCAATGTGGTTCATGTTTTAATTGAAAAACAATAAAGTGAAAGCACTCACAGTAAATCTTCCTTTTCGTTCATGATTGCTTGTTTCTCTAAAAACATCTCCAATGACACAAGAATCCATCCGATGATCTGTTAAATAATATAATGAAATTAGGGGAATCTTTCGTGTTGTCTTTTCTATTGAGTTAAACAAGGAAATGTTTGAAGAAGCAAAATAAAAAGCAAAACAGGTTAAGGCAAGGAAATACCTGAAAGTTATGACAAGTTGCTGAACAGAATGGAGCAAAAGATTAGCAACAAGTCAGTCAACAAGAGCCAAAATAACATCAGAGAACAAGTTATGAATTTATTCGTTGAGTTGAACTATTCAATGAACATCCAATGCAGGCAAAAACGAATGTTGGAAAACGTTTGTGAGTAAGCTAAAGAGCAACGACAGGACGATAAAGCTTGAAAGAAAAAAAAATATAGAAAGAGAGAGGGAGGGAGGGCAATAGAAAGAATGACATCCGTATATACTTGCACAGAGGCTATCCTTCTTCAGACGGCAACATTCATAGACTTCGATGATAACGAAAATGGAAAAATAAGGGCAGCAGATTTGATATTCTCTTCAAATGAAATTTAACCATTCCAAGCAGTTCCCGGTTGCTGGAAGAGAGAAGGGGGGGGGGGAGTTGAGTGAGAGAAGAGTAGATAGATGATGTGAAGAGAATGAGAGGATGAGAGGGAGGGAAAAAACAGAAATGGACCAAAAAACGAAGAAGAGCTTTGCTTGCTCGTTCAGTCACTGACATGGTTACGAAAGTATATTTGGAAGAAGAAAATAAAATAAATTCAAAACAATTACACAACAATAGTTGAGAAAGGATAAGAAGACCAGAGAACTGAAGAGAGAGAAGAAGCTCACCAAAAGAAAAAACGAAGAAGTAAAAAAAATATTTGAAACAGAGAGGTAGGAGGAGGTAGAGAGAGAAAGAGAAAGCGGATGGGTGGGAATGAAACGAAACTTTCAATTTATTTCACCGAAAATCAACCTTCAACCAATAATTTTCATAGAAGACAAAAAACAGTTGGAAATCATAAAAAATGAGTGAAGTAGAGTGAATGAACAAAAAAAAAGAAAAAGCTGAGAAACAATGGGAAACAGGCTGATGACAAACTCCGAAAAGGCTTTCGATTCAACAACTACATGAGAGGAAACAAAGTATTTTTTCCATACAACATACAATTCCATATGTGTTTGATGATGATCGATCAATCTTCTAAGAAAACTAAACTATAAAATGAAATTGTTCCAAGTAGATAGATAATGAGAGAGAGTAAGAGAAAGCAAGAGAAAGTGGGAGGTAGGAGGGAAGGGAGTTGGAAAAAAATTTCTTTTTTGTTTGAAAAAAACTTTTTTCCTCGTTTTTGCAATCAGTTAAGGAGGTCGGGGCAAGGGTTAACGTTTGCCTTCATGACAATACAAACATCCAAAAAGTGCCGAGAGAGAACCAAAAATCAGCTGATAGCCTTTAAGCTGCTCAAATATCAATTAAAACATAATAATAAATGAGGAATAAGCTTCAATCTTTGAAAGTGAGAAGTTTGAAAAGAAAACTTTTCCATTTCATTCTTCTCTCTGTTTCCAATAAAAAAGTTGTCGTTCAAACACATAAAAATGCTCAAATGTTCTTATATGTTAAAAGCTTGCTCGTTAAGTTAAACCTATAAAGACGAGTTCCAATAATAGTAATGGAAAAGCCAATATTAAGAACGTGGGCAATTTCTGACAAGTCGTTGACGTTTTTCGCGCCGTCGGCTCGTTTGACTTGGCAACGGCAACAGCAACCACCGAATTCAAATCCAGATGATGCTCAAGTTGAGCTGAGCGAAGATTAAGACCGAGCTTTAGAATAGGAGCGGATAGAGAGATGTAAAGAGAGAAGTAGAGGTAGAGAGAGAAAGGGATAGAGAGTAATGGTAGAGAGAAGAATCAAAATGAAAGGCCATGAATTAGAAATTAAACAATTTGCTAAGGAGAAAAGAGATCATTCATATCTTCAAACGAGGGTGAGAAGTCAAAATTCAAAAATTGAGAAAACGCACCGCATGAACACCATACACCATGCATATGAACATCAAAAAACACAACCGTTCTCCATGTCAAAGGGAAATACAATGAAAAATTCATGAGAAAGGACGCTGCGTGAGAATTCACGTGAAAATGACGTCATGTTTTTCTTTTTTTTTGGTTGAAGTACAAAACGAATAAGAGAGTACGGAGAAAAATGAGTTAAACAGATATAAAATGACGAAAAGAGTTTAAGATGGACAATAAGTTAAAAACAAACTTGATAAGTACAGAATAGATTGGGTGAATGAAGTAATCAAATAATTTTTAATGATCATCAAGTTCATTTTCGTTGTCAAATGAATGGAATTAGGAGAATGTAATGTAACAACTGACAAAAACGTATTTTTTGATTTTAGCTAAATGACATTACAAGAATTGTACGCAATGATGGGAATGAGTTAATCAGTTGAAGGATGAGAGGGAAAATTAGCTGAGTCATTTCAAGCAGAAATTTTTTTCAAACGTTTAACCTCCGCTCATAATCTTCAAATGACAATAAATAAAAACATTTCGTTGTGGACTGAGATGAGTTTGCAACTGCATCTCAGATTTCATTCAACTAATAAAAAAAGCTGCAAGCAAATGAAGGCAGAAAGATTAGAACAGGAGTGTGGGCAGGGTTGCGAGACAAATACGTCGAACACAATGACAAATTGTAAATTGGCTAATCTTCCTTCTTCATAAAAGATTTTTAAAAAAGAAAACGATTTGCTTGAATGCCATCGAGTAGAAAGAGAAAAAAGTTTTTTCTTCTTCTGCAAAGCTTAATGGTTTCGTCGATTTATATTTCGTGACCGAATCGCAAACAGGCCAATGACAAGAAAGACAACACACACACACACACATACCACACAGAAGTTAAGAACAAAATATTTTAGAAGTTTAAGAAAATAAGTTTTTTTGTGAACAAATTCTTATCCACAAACTTCATTCCAATCCTATTGGTTGAACTATGAAGGATTTGTGTGTGTTGGTGTGGAAAACACATAATCGTAGATTAAATATCGTCCAAAGACAGAGATCACCTTAGCCCAAAGTAACGTTTTTCACATACAATCCTATTGCTCTAGAGAGAACGATGGAAACACAAGTGAGAGAGGGAAGTAAAAGAGAAACAGAGAAAATCTCATGATGAAAGTAAAGATAAAATGATAAAGTCTATCAGACAGCTGTCCAGTAGCGTTCCAAGAGTTACATTGCATTTTCAGCAGCAAGACGGTAGTATGATATGCCAGACAATGATAAACTTCAAAGAACTTTCTTTGAACAGTTTGTTAACATTAAGAAAATCAAAGATGATCCAGTCGATTAGCTATTGAGAGGATAGGAACCAAAAAAAGAAAGTTTGGAGATCAGATATACGACTCAAAGACGCCAAAGATTATAACTGACGAGAATGGCGCAAAAATTTTATAAAAAATTTTGAAATTTCCGGTGATCCTCCAACATTTTTTTTTCAATTATTTGTTGATGTCTGATGTTGTTCAAGGGTTCACGAAAAACGCTAATTTCGTGAATTAGATTCGGGAAGGAAAGCTTGTGCAAGGAAATCCGCATTACAAAGTTCAAAGTTCTCGAGAAATGAAGGTGGGTGGATAAGTTAAGAAGTCGAATTTTCATACCTAAGTTGGTATTGTTTTTCATCTATTTCAGTTTCGATTTCATCATCGTAAATGAAAGTACAAAACGTATTCGTGTAACGAAATCATAGAACGACATAGGAAGACCTCACATAGCGAGACTGGAAGGAGAAGGCAAACGATAGGAGACCTCGAGCATGTGTTGAGGCCTTTAAAGCATTTTCCAAAAGCCTGTCTTCATAATAATAGCAAAGAGAATTGACTGGAAGTCAACAACTTATGATAAGATAATAAACAAGATCTTTTAATACTTTTGTATTTTAGGTGACGAAAACAGGAACGGAAAAGACAAATCAGTGCTGATTGTTACTTAAGAATATCATTGGCAAAAAATATTTGAGAAAACAAAAAGAAGTCGAAAGTTTAGGAATTAAGTCAACTCTCTTATTCTCTTAATATCAATTGTTTGTTTAAGGAGAAGTAGCTAAACATTCTTTCCTTCTCTCCTTCAACCTTCTTCTAGCAGATTTTTTTATTTTTATGAGGGATTGATATGCTGAGACATATGCTTCTTCTATTTTAAGATATAAAAGATAAAAAGACTTATTTAGATAACACATATAATGGTCGTCTGCCATATGCGGCAACTACTTCCTTCTTCCTCAACCTTCATCAGCTATCTTCCTCGTATGAATCGAATGTAGAACGGGCAGGTCGTTAAAACTTATTTTATTTTGTTCCTTTCTGATATATTACCCGCATTCAAACTTCATATTCTTGTGTTTTCTCAGAATGAGTCACGGATATTGGATTACAGCAGCCTGCCATATACGTTATAAGCTTCATTAAATTTGGGATGAGAAGTCGTCGTCGTCTACGTCGTCATCGCCATTCTCGCGTCAAAACAAAAAACAAACGAAAAAACAGAATGTGGTGTATATGAGTGTGTACGCATGTAGAGTGTTGGAGAAGAACTATGAGGAAGAACAAATTAAGACTTCTCTTTTTATTCTATACAAGGAATTCAAAATCAAAAACTCCATTACAACAACCCGTTTCCTCAGTGTGCTACTCCGTCTTGTAAACCTATTAAAGCTTTTCTTGTGTTCAGCAAGTCTCGTCCCTGAGCTTCTCTGGAATAGCGAATCGTTAACAGGATGATGTATTGTCAGCTTACAGTTTGGCTTTCAAGGATATTATTGTCACATTGGCAGCTTTAAGATCGTTCGCTAGACGCGAGTTCTCTTCCATGTATAACATGGATTCATTCCTATTCTGCAAAGCGGAAATGCTTCAGTTGTCTGTCAAATTTCAAGTCATACTTGGGCAATAAGCACTTCGTTGTCAGTTAAAGCTAAAGTAAGCCAATCACAGCGTCCTCGTTCCATCTGGAGATCCGATTGAGTACAAGAGAGTTGCTCTAAATTCTGTAAAAGAGAAATTTAGCCAACAGACAGAAAGGCAATTAGTTTTTACTTGTTTTGCCGCCAGTTCACTATCGGCCAATCTTTTTTTCAAATCTATGATTTCCTCTTCGCGGTCAAGAAGCTAAGAAAAGATTAAAAGATTATATTCTTGACAACAAACCATTGTTCTGTTCCTCTCCAAATCGAGTAGAAGTTCCTTGGAATAATTACATTCTTTCTCTAATTTCTGCTTCAAGTTCTCTTTCTCTTTGAGAACTCCTTCATAATCACGTAGAAGATGCTGTTTTTCTTCCTCAAACGTATTCTAATATCAAGATGTTCTTTGTTGTCTATGAAGAATTTCAGATTACCAGGTCGGGAGGGGCTGCAGGTGCCCTTACTGCATGATCCATCATTTCCTTATCGAGAGAGGATCTTGTTGGAAATAACTCATGCTCAAGCTGCAAAAAACTCATAAACAACTTATAATTCATAAAATCAAGGCCTTCTATTGGAATTTACCTCGAGAACTCGCGAAAATTCCAAACTTGCTGCCTTGGCCTGTTGATATTTTCGCTCTAGTTGGAGGATTTTTTCATGCATTCCATGACGTTCTCTGAGCAGAGATGTCAATTCGGCATTCACAGATGATAGGAGTGAATCGTTTTCCATCAGCTTGTCACAAGCGAATCTATAAAGGAAGTCAAAACTCAAAAAGGAAAAGGAAAAGAGGTAGGATTGACAGAGAGGAAGCATAGGAGCAGCAAGAAATTAGAGACTTTTATAATTTGCTCGAGCGGTCAGACGACTGAAAAAACATGTAAATAACAACAATAACATCAACACGTACTTGGAAGGCTCAGAATGTTTAGTTAGGTTCTTAGGTGGAAGTTGAAAAAGAGCGCAAAAATCAGAAAGCATACTTTCATTTTAAAAACTGGGAGGCAACGAGCCGAACTGAAAGATTGCCAAAAAAAGAATTTGAGAGCAATGTGCCGCAATGGATTTGCATTGTTCGAGAGGGTAGAACTAGGCTTAATTTACTTAAAGAACACTGACAAATAGTTATTACAACACTGGCAGTAAGAATCATCCGAATAATAAAAATGCAAAAAAACTTTAATCTGTGCGAGAGTTGAGCGGAAGATGTGCTCATTTGGGCAGCACAAGCCTTTTCCATTCTTTCCTATTCACAGACGCAAATAATGAAATTGACGCGCTCGCAATGCTCATTCCTCTGCCCATCCAGGCTCAGAACAAAAAAATGAGTCTTTTCAAATGAAAAAAAAAGGAGCTGCTTTCGCATTTTATGAGATAATTCCACATAAAATTTGTAAGACTGAAAGAAGGAATTGGAGAACAGCAAATTCCATAACTTCGACGAAAAGTAATTCGAGCTCAGTCAAAACTTTATAGCAATGCATGTGTCAGAGAGAAGATAGAGTGGAAACCTTTTAAAAAACTCACTTGTATTCTACGTGAATTTGTTCTAAGTCAACTTTAAGCTTTTCTTTTTCAATCTTCAATTGGCTGTTAATTCCTGTTAGTCGATCTAATTCTTTCGTCTGCAATCTCATTACCTCGCTCATTTTCTCTGAAATATGAATAAGCAGCTCAATAATTATAGATTGGAAATAGTTGTTATGGGACAAAGAACTGGCAAGTATCACGGACTTTCAACAAGAGAAACGATGAAACAAGTACCTAATTGGACAGCGACACGTACTGGGACATTAATCATATCCATGGCAGTCATCTATAATAAATATTTCAATATGTGTAACTTGAATGACAACTATTTCAATTATGAAAATGGAATATGAACTAAATTCATTAATAATACCTGATTAGTATTCTCCTGTCCGAAAGTATGCGAGGACGTCGTTTCCAACGGGAACTCAGCTTGGTCGTTAGGCTATAGTAGAAACACGTAAATCAATGCTCTATTCAGATAGGCATAGACACATTTCATCAAGATACTCACGAGCATAATGATCCAAAAAAGCCAAGCAAAGACTATGGTTCCCTAGCTGTGGAATCTTTGGCAGAAAGTTTCTTTCTTTTCAAAACTCTCGAACTCTATCTCTCTCGCTGATAAATCTGAACTAACCTCCATATCGGATTCATAAGATAGCGAGAGCAAGCTTTGTTTTCACTGCGTTTGACATCCGATTAATCATGTGCTTAAAGCATCCAACTTCAAAAAAGCCTGAAGCCATTAATTTAAACAGTCAGATTTCCCGCCTTTTCCGATTGGTCCATAAAATGAAAGATGCAAGTTTCTCAATCGTTTGTCACAGGAAAAGACCGAGCGACGTGAAGGTACTCAATTAGCATGTTGCATTCTAACAAGTGCCTTACGTGAATAGCGTCAAAGCACATTATTTGCAAACTTCAAAGACGTGCAGAGCGGTTGCATTAGCATTACGAAGCTTTCCGTTGTTGTGCTATATGAACATAACCTAGTTATACTTATTACATTTAAAAAATAATATTTCATTCATCAACAATCAACAACCAACAAAAACAACTGTGAATTTGTAACAAAGGTAACAATGAAATTAAGATTGTAAATATCAAACTTTCACAACAATACGCGTTTATCTACTTATAAGACCAGAACAGTTCAGTTTAGCGTCTCTGGGGTTTACCGAATTTGCCACCTCTACCAGCTTTACTTCCTTTACCAACTTTACCTCTTCCTTTAGTTTTTTCTTTTGCTTTTGCACTACGCAAATCTTTTTTCATGCGACTGAAAATACTGTTAACTACAGAAGAATAGAGCGCACGCACCTATCGACAAGCTTATAACGTCCGTTTGGTCGTTGTTTTCTTCCCTTGGTTCCTTTAGTCATTCGGACTAACTCAACCTTCTTCTCCTCCTTTCTATGAGCTTTAGCGTAAATCCTTCAAAGAGGTGAATTTCATCCCATTTCAGAAATTAAAAACTCACTTCTTCATCTCACGAATCTTCTCACCATGTTCCAAGTTTTCGTTCTCAACAACTCCTTCAGCTTGTTTCTTTGCTCTCTCCATTTTAAGTTTCAATCTGCGAACAAATATAAATGTGTTTGTAGCGACAAATTTTTGTTACTTCTTCTGTTTACGAGCCTTAGCTTGGGCTACCTTCTTACAAGGCTGAGCGTTCAATTCTTTTAAGCGTTCTCTGTACCGCTGGACTTGTTCCTAAATTCGAACGTTTGACAACGTTTCATAAGTGAAACCCACCTTTGTAACAGGCAACTCTTTTTTGTTATGTTTCTTCTCATCTTCCACAAACCAATCAGGAAGTCCTTCATCATTATTAGTATATCTGGAACAAACGAACTATAAAACTATTAATACTTTTAGTTCACCTGTTCCAACCCAATTCCTCGAGTTCTCGAGCTCTCTTACTGGAGTAAATTAGTTGTTCTCCTATGGCCAGTTCCTCAGGAGTCAATCTTCTCTTTTTGGCTTCTAGAAACAATTGGTTACTTGAAACTGAAGACTGAAACACTGTGACTCACTAGGCTTCAAATCTTCGCCAATGGTTGGTTTGGAAACATCACGTTTGGTCGCTCGTGTGTCCTCTAGAAGTTAATCATAATGAAAGAAATGAATATCAGAAACGTACCTTCTTCATCCTCAACTTCTTCCCAATCCATTTCAGCATCGAATCTGGACCCAGCAACTGCCTCCTCTTCGTTTTCATCTTGATCATCATCCTCGTCAGATTCTTCCTCATCCTTTTTATTGAAACTGTCGATATTATCATTTTTACGTTTTGCTCTTAATGAATCTTTTGAAAGCATTTCTTCGTCATCGAAGGTAACAGTGTTCTCGTGAAGATTCTTGTTATTCTTTTTCATGATCTTCTCGATAGCATCGAGTTGATCTTCGTCATCATCGTCAGATATGAGACCCGCAATTTCATCCTAGGATTGTGATTACAACTTTTACTTTGCAACACCAAACCTTTTCAAACCACTGATCAGTTTTACTTTTGACTTTTTCTGCTTTTCCCATGAAAGATTCAGCTGAGACAAGAAGACCATTTTCATCATAATCTTCCAATTCATCTTCTTCCTCCTCATCTCTGAAAGACACGTTTTAATTCAAAACCAAGATGAACTCTCTGTACTCTGCTCCACCAATGGTTTCCCATTCTCCGTCACCGAGGCCTTCCTCATCATCCATTTCATAACCTAGACCAGCCATGCTGGGAGTGTCGACATCAGTGTTAGTGATAGCTTGGAGCTCTCGAGCCTAAAACTTGATTTTTAAAAAAAATGGGAAAAAATAACAACTTTAGCGATTTTTCTCAAAGAGAAAATTTCGAGATCCTCTATGATATCAGGCTGATCGCCTTTGATAATCATTTTCAGTTCACGTCGCTTGATCACATCAGCTTTAGCTTTAAGCATCTTCTTCTTCTTCCTTGAAGAACAATTTATTCATGAAGCACTGATCATGAAATTACCTCTTAAGGGCTGTTTTTTCTTCAGCAGAAGCTTTAGCGATGAGTGCATCGATCTCAGCCATTTCCATATCTCTGAAATCATCACAGAATAAGTTTTGCCTTGAGAAACAGTTCTAACTCAATTTCCTCTGGATTCAATTCCTTCTCTTCTATTTTTTCCGCATTTTCTCTGGAAAAAACCAACAGTAATTACTGTGAACTGTATCATGAAATACTCTTCCAGCTCTGCAGCTTCTTTGTCTAACAAATCCCTCATTGTTTTTCTCCATCTAAGAAGGACTCTTAACTCTCTTGGACCACACACTTTCAAATCATTCATGTTCTCTACGATCTGAATCATCTTGATAGAAGAGAGTTTATAAAAAAGGGAATAACCTCTTCAGTAGTTGCAGGATGAGTTTTCCATTTTTCCTGATCTAGGATAATTTTATTGTTACTGGCAAGCAGATCCAGATACTCCTGAAGTTGAGAAAATATTATGTGAAGAGAGCTGTATTTCGAACCTTCGATTGGATGAATGCAGTGGCATCCACGACCGTGTAGACAGTTAAACTACTATCATCGTAACCTTCAGCCTTAGCCTTTCTCTCCTTCCTTTTGCTAAGTAGAAGAGTTTGACTAAACGAAAGAATGAAGATCGAATAGTCATGAAAGTAACTTACGGGTTAGCTTTGACATTCTCCTGATGAGGATCAGAGAAAACTTTTTTATGATCAAGATACTCAGAAGGCACTTTCGATGGTTTTAAATATCGTTCGCAAACAACGAAAATCTCAGCAGATTCAAGACGAGAAGCGGCAGGTTTCCATACATGAACTTCCTTGAAAAGCTTCTCGAAAACTTTGATGAGACAGGAATAATCGTTCGAACGGAAAACCTGAACAAACGAATATATATTCTCTATCAGTGGAACTATTGATTACCTTTGTTACGAAAGTACCGTTTTTACGAAGAATTTGAGTAGCAAGCTTGAGAGCAGACAAAACGAGACAATTCTGTTGGAAAGCATCGTGAATCCAGTTCATACCGACATTTGGAGCTCCGTCATGGAGAACGCAGTCAGCCTAAGATTGAAACTTTATTTTATCCCCGTGTCCTTTAATCTTACATCCCAGTTATTCATCTCTTTTTTAATAGCTTGTCTTGTCTGTTCAGTTGTAATATCTCCTTGCAAACCAATACAATTAGCAATAGGCTTGATGGGTGCCAAATCAACTCCTGTAACCTCGTTGCTTCATGGCTCATTCAACTCATATTCAAACCAATAATCAAGCTGGAGACAGGCATGTTCTGTTGAGCAACTTGCATCCATCCTCCTGGAGCAGCACACAAATCGACAGTTACCCTTGCATTTTGAAGAAACTCGAAACGCTTGTTAAGCTGAGTCAACTTGAAAGCAGCACGAGAACGAAAACCTAAACGAATAAAAAAATGCGAAAACAATGCAAGACTGTACCTGCTTCTTTGGCAAGTTTATAATACTTATCACGACGCTGCTTTCCGATTTTAGTCTTTTTACCCATTTTCTGAAAGATAAATTTGATGTTGTACAATATCCACTCGGTGTCTACTGTGTTACGTTTCCCGTTTCTTCACCCCCCAACAATAATGATTCGATTTAACAAATTCAGAGTATAACAGCGTATTTTTTATAACAATTTATTCATAAATCAACAACAATTTACTTCTTTCCCTTAGCAGCTCCCTTCTTGGCTCCGGCAGCTGGCTCTTCAACAACAAGGGTATCGTGACAACGTCCGCAGTAGTATCTGTTCTCGTGAGCAGCCATGAAGACTCCTCCTCCGCAAGAGGCAGATTGGCATTCCTTTCGGAGACGACGAATCTTTCCGTTTCCATCAATCTGAAATAATATGATAAATTTCGATCAAGAGCAGCTTATTTGATCTAGGAATGTTTCATGGGCTCAGAAATAACTCAAGGTAAATACAATCAGAAAGAACTCTCAGAGGCCTGGACACCATAATCATCATTGCTTTGAAACATTCCTTTCTGATAAAAGAAAATAACTAACTCCGTAGAACTTGAGGACAGCGAGTTTGACCTTCTTTCTCTTATGCTTGATCTTCTTTGGGGTGGTGTAAACCTTCTTCTTTCTCTTCTTTCCTCCTCCCAACAATCTGAAAGAATGAAAAATTACTTCCGTAACTTAAACGTAACGAGAAATGAATTTGTTATGGGGTAATGCTCAGATTATATTTGATATCATGATACTCTCAGAGGCCTGGACACACTTGAAGTGAAAAATCATCATTGCTATATCCCATGACAGAAGATATAGAGAAAACATACCTGAGAGAGAGGTGAAGAGTGGAAGCCTCAGCAACATCGAGTTCATCGGAGAGCTGACGTCCTATAGTGAAGAAAAATCATATAAGGGGTTAGCCAAGTCTGTCCTCAAGGTTCACAAGTGAAGCCTTTCCAGATTTAGCGAAAACCAAAAAAATACTTACCTTCGCAGATAAGGCGTTGGTCTTCAGCAGCGATTCCTTCGATTTGTTCGATCTTCTGCTTGATTAAGCCAACGTTAGTCGACTCGAGGGTCAAAGTTTGACCCGTTAGGGTCTTGACAAAGATCATGGTACCCTTGTTCTTAAATAGAAAAATGAATAAAAATAAATAAATTAGTTAAAATAAAGAAAAGAAGTACAAGAAGAAATGAGACAAAGTCCAGCACACAATGAAATCAAGCGGGAGTATACCTCAGATTAAATATTTTTAGGCCTCTTTCCCAGCAGCGACTGGATTACGGTAGGCGGTACTGAGTATCAGGGACTCGTGTTTGAGAGCGCGTTGCGCATTTCTCATTGGAGCGCATCTACCTACACAAACTTTTGTGTTTTTTTGCTGATTTCGTTATCGAGAGTGTGTTTTTTTTAATCGGTCAATATTAATCGGTTATGATACCGGAGTTATGAATGAAAAAAAAAGTTGAAATTTTAACGATTAATTAATCTATATTAATTGCTAATACTCAATATCCATGATATTCATAGCCTGAGTCAGTGTTGAACAGCTTTTATCCCCTTCTTTGTACAGCATCTCCATCATTTCTTCTTTTATCTGTTCTTGGCAAGCGACAGTATCATCTGCAGCTGAGGTATTCGTTCTAAAA